AAAAAAAAAAAAAAAAAGAGAAAAAATATAAATGAAAATAATTGTAAAGATCAAAAGCCCTTGGGAAAGGGAAATAAAAACTTGGTAAATCAGAGTTATTATTTATTCAGACCCTATTACGTGCCTAGTACTACACTTTGTACATAAAGAACATTTGCTCTCTTCATCTTCATAATGATTCTATGAAATAGAAATTATGACAGCTTTTTTTCCACAAATAAGGAAACTGACTCAGACTACCCAAGTTAGAGGCAGAAACAGGTTCTTCTTATTCCATATACACTTGCCACCTGGTTAAAATTATTTACAGGTGACAAAAATGCTCAACTAGAAAACAGAAAAACATCAATTTATAAGTTATGTGTAATGCCATGAGTAGAATGAAGTGACAAAATAAACATGTATACTTTTAATTTCTGCTCTTGTCCACTAAGTAAAATTAGAAACAAAAAAAGAAAAACGGGAAAGACCTTATGCAAAAAGAAAGAAGTCGCGATTTACAACAAAAGTATTAACTATGTAGAAATAAGCATAACCAGAAAAGTCCAAGATACGTATGGAAAAATACTACAGCTAGTCAAAGAAATAAAAGTCTTGGGTTGGCCGGGCAAGGTGGCTAATGCTTGTAATCACAGTACTTTGGGAGGCCGAGGCGGGCGGATCACAAGGTCAAAAGATCGACACCATCCTGGCCAACATAGTGAAACTCCGTTTCTACTAAAATATAAAAATTAGCTGGGCATGGTGGCGCGCATCTGTAGTCCCAGCTACTCGGGAGGCTGAAGCAGAATTGCTTGAACCCAGGTGGCGGAGGTTGCAGTGAGCGGAGATCGCACCATTGCATTCCAGCCTGGCGCCTGGCGACAGAGCAAGACTCTGTCTTCAAAAAAAAAAAAAAAAAGTCTTGGGTTAATGGAAATCCATCACATATTCCCGAAAGTGTTGGATCTACATTTACATCAATTCTACCCAAATTAAAGTAACCACTTGATGAAACTGCAGCAGTTTAAACAAGAAAACTCTCAAAGAGCAAGTAATATGGGAATACGTAGTTGACAAAATGTTAGATTAAATAGGAATAAAATTATACCAATACCTAGACACCTGATCCCAACACTAAACATGAAATACGCTAAACAAGAGCTGTTTTCTGGAGGAGTATTTAAGATGATGGGGAGGTCGTTACTTGGGTCGCAATGAACCTGAAAGCAAATTTTCTATGGAATATATAGTAGCATGGAAGCAAGGGGACCAGCAAACCCCTTTTTAAGTACGCATGTGATAAATAACGAACTGCCCCGAGCTGTCTCCAAAACTAACATCATTCGCTTTCCCACCACGACCTCCCAAGCGCTCGTCCCAACGCGGAGCCCACAGGCTCCCCGACTCGGGAACCCCGGCACGACTCTGTGAAATGAACCCCCAGCGAGGACTCCCCAGGGCTCCCCGCAACACGAACCCCCACCGCGCTAGCGAACAACAGAAAAACCCCAACGCGCTCTCCCTGGCCCCGAGACACTCCCAGAATCCCACGCAGACCTGACCAATGACCTCTGTCGCCACCGCTGGAGGCGAGTCACGGACCCTAAATCTCTAAACGCTCACCTCAGCCAGCCACCCCGCGACCCCCGCACGCTACAAACGCGACCCTCGCAGGCTTTAGGGATGGCGGCCGTCTAGGGTCACACCGCGTTTTTCCAGAGACTCGGAAACCGGCGCGGGCCGTGCCTTTATGATGCAATATGTTGCGCCCAAGGGATGCTTGCTGGGAGCAGCCATTTTCAAGCCTACCGCCGTACAGCAGGAGGAGTCCCCCTTTTTGCGCCGTAGGCAGACTCTGTCGATGAAAAGCAATTGAAAACGTCCCATTCCACCCTTTCCCATGCCAGGTGAACTGCTGGACCTTGGCTTTTCAACATTCGCCAGGGGCGCTACATAAACTGCTTAGTTTCTCAAAGGCTCAAGCCTGCCCTGATCTTTCTGCAGGCAGGGTAAAGATGGTCACAGACATTTAGGCACTTTGATCCTAAAAGGAATGGAAAGAGGCCGGGCGCGGTGGCTCAAGCCTGTAATCCCAGCACTTTGGGAGGCCGAGGCGGGTGGATCACGAGGTCAAGAGATCGAGGCCATCCTGGTCAACATGGTGAAACCCCGTCTCTACTAAAAATACAAAAAACATTAGCTGGGCATGGTGGCGCGTGCCTGTAATCCCAGCTACTCAGGAGGTTGAGGCAGGAGAATT